GGTAAATGCAGGGGAAGCGCGACCCCTGGCATGGTCTCGGCCCCCTTGGAACTCTGTCCCAGCCTTCGGGTCACGTTCCAGGCCTGGCCATGCCTCGTAGCGTACATGTGACAAAGTCTACCACCAAGGGGGCTGGCGCTGTCATGTCCTGGAGCTTGCAGGTGGGTGGGAAGCCTGGCCCGACCTCCGAAATAGAAACCCACGTTGCAGTCAGGAACCAGGAACCGAGCCAGTGCTGTGCACGCTGGGTTAAGCCATCACTTGTGATGCAGGCGTATCTTACTGCATCCTAGTTGTTTGCCCATTTAGCTCCCTGTTAATGCACCTGAGAAGGGGGCAGAAGATGATGACCTAAGTATTTGGGCCCCAACCACCCACATGAGACCTGGAGGGAGTTCCTGGCGTTGGCCTGGCCAAGCCCTGGTTGTTGTGGCCATCTGGGGAGTCAAACAGCAGATGGAAGACTCTCTCTCATATGCTGTGCCTTTCTAACATATAAATAAATAAATCTTTAAAAAAAAGAGAGAGAGAGAGATCATCCAATAAACATGGTGCTCTAGAGAATAACTTAGTATCTTTTAGATGCTCAGGGATCTAATTTAATACTTCCAAGTTCAGGGTCTCGCTCAGGGCAGGTGAATCAGTGCATGCCAATTAGTATGGAGGAGTCTGAGGCCAAATCTCTTTCCAGGGAAAGACTACAGTTACCAATTAGTGATGGCTGCTCTGGAGGTCAGGGGTGGCACAGCCACCAGTATTTAAAGTGCCCTAATGGGGGCCGGCGCTGCGGCTCACTAGGCCACTCCTCCACCTAGCGGCGCCAGCATACCGGGTTCTAGTGCCGGTCGGGGCGCTGGATTCTGTCCCGGTTGCCCCTCTTCCAGGCCAGCTCTCTGCTGTGGCCCGGGAGTGCAGTGGAGGATGGCCCAAGTGCTTGGGCCCTGCACCCCATGGGAGACCAGGAGAGGCACCTGGCTCCTGCTTTCAGATCAGCACGGTGCACCGGCCGTAGCACGCCGGCCATTGGAGGGTGAACCAACAGCAAAGGAAGACCTTTCTCTCTGTCTCTTCTCTCACACTATCCACTCTGCCTGTCAAAAATAAATAAATAAATAAAAAATAAAGTGCCCTAATGGGGCCGGCGCTGAGGCGTAGCAGGTAAAGCCGCTGCCTACAATGCCAGCATCCCATGTGGGCACTGGTTCGAGTCCTGGGTAATGTGCCTGGGAAAGCAGCAGCAAATGGCTCAAGTGTTTGGGCCCCTGTTGCCCACTTGGGTGACCTGGAAGAAAGCACCTGGCTTTGGCCTGACCAAACCCTGGCTGTTGCAGCCATCTGGAGAGTGAAACAGCAGAGGGCAGCTCTCTGTCTCTTCCCCTCTCTCTGTGTTAACTCTTAAAATAAATAAATAAATCTTAAAAATAAAGTATCCTGCTGGTCAGTTATCAGAACACACTCCCAGGCCATCAGACTGGACACGGGAAGCTACTGCAATCTGGTCTCGATGGTACTTTTAAAAAACAAATATTTACTTACTTATTTATTTAAAAGAGTTACACAGAGAGAGAGAGAGAGAGAGAGGTCTTCCATCTGCTGGTTCATTCCCCAGATGGCCACACGGTCGGAGCTGCACCAATCCAAAGCCAGGAACTTCTTCCGGGTCTCCCATGTGTGTGCAGGGACCCAAGCACTTGGGCCATCTTCTACTGCTTTCCCAGGCCAAAGCAGGGAGCTGGTTTGGAAGTGGAGCAGCCAGGACTCAAACCGGCACCCATATGGGATGCCAGCACTGGCCCTGGTACTTTTTTTTTTTTTTTTTAAGATTTATTCTTATTTATTTGGAAGGTAAGAGTTACAGAGAGGGATCTTCCACCCCCTGGCTCACTCCACAAGTGGCCACAACGGCTGGGGCTGGGCCAGGTCAAAGCCCGGTGCTTCATCTGGGTTTCTCACATGGATGCAGAGGCCCAAGGACTTGGGCCATCACAGGGTGGGACTCGACCAGACCCCTGTGGGATGCTTGTGTCGCAGGCAGTGGCTTTACCCGCTACGCCACAGTGCTGGCCCCTACAGGGGTATCTTAATCACATTTAACATCTTTGAAATGAGAATTCATCTTAAAAATTGCCAGCTTTTCCACCTTCACCACTAGTTTATGTACAAAAAACAAAGGTGTTGTCTTACTACGGCAGCTCAAATACATGGAATACGGTCAAGAACGCGGAGAGCACCACTCGCTGTCGCCAGGGAATCCGTGCATCTCAGGAAATCCTTTCATTACACCAAACGGTGAAAGGTTCCACACCTTCAGCAAGGGGGCCAAGCATCAAAACAGAAAAGCGATGAAAACGAGCAGCCCAAGGGGCTGGGGAGGTGCGTGGGTTTGCAGTGGGCGCTCCGGCCCCTCACAACGGGGGAGATTCCCCAGAGCGACCCCCGGGGTGTCCTAGAGCTCAGGACAACGTGTGCGGCTCGGCCGTCCACCGGACATCTGACTTGGGCAATTTAATAGCGGATCGAAGCTAGGTATCCAACGGGGAAGCGTGCCTTCAATACGTATGATTTCTTCCCCAAAACTATTTGTCGGCGGCTTACCACAAATACACAAGTCAATCTTGAAAAGCAATGGGAGAGGGGCTGGCCCAGCTGTTAAGATGCCACGTATGTGGGCCTGAAGGACCCGGTTTCAGCGCTGGCTGCTTCCTGCTGGGAGACCTGGGTAAGTTCCCAGCTGCTGTGGGCATCTGGGGAGTGAACCCGCGAATGGAAGACCTCTGTCTGTCTCTGCCTTTCGAAGTCGAAGGAAGGAAGAACCAAGCAGATGAGAACATCAAGATCGGAGGGACACGGGCGCCCAGGACCAGAGCAGCGCCCCAGGGAGGTTCAGTGCAGAGACGGCCTGCAGGAGGAGAGCCGAGAACCTCGGGCCTCTGGACACCAACACGGAGAAACGTGAGCCCAAAAGCGGCAGAGAAAAGGAAAAGCTGCGGGGTCTCCCGGGACTGCACAGTTATCACCAAGATAGAGAGGGACCTAACCTAACAGAGAGGGGCAGACCCCTGGTCGGCAAACAGGGACTGCACCCGAAAGCCTTTTCCCACACACAAGCTGGAAGTCACAGCACATCATCCCACAGCTGTCTCGAGTCCAGACATACGACCGAACACCTGTGCTGGTGTTTCAGGGCCGTGCCAAGGTGGGAAGGACTGAACACGAACCTAACCCACAGCCTCGGACTGCCCAGCACCCTGCGCTTTGGGGTCTGTCTCTGCTCATTCACCGGGACCCGGCAATTCTAACAGCCAGTCCCAGGGCCGGGTGCACAGAGGAGAATGGAGAAAGGCTCTGGTACAGTCCTAGATGGGGAAGTAAACCAGCAGATGGAAGATCGCTCTGTCTCTCTCCCACCTCCCTGCGTAACTCTACCTATCAAATACGTTAAAAAAAAAAATCTTCAAAAAGAAGGAGGAGGCTTGGGATGCCCTCATCCCACATGGAGGTGCCTGGTTCAAGTCCAGGCTACACCTGTGCTTCTGATCCAGCTTCTGGCTAATGTGCCTGGAAGGCAGCGAACTATCAAGGCTTGAGTTCCTATACCTTTTGCAAATGGCTCCAGCATGGGCCAGATCTGGCTGTTGCTGGCATTTGGGGAGTAAACAAAAAAGGAAAACTTCTCTCATTCTGAGAAAGGAGAGGGGAGAGACAGAAAGCTAGCAGGTGAACATGTCTGCTTCCTTTCAATTATCTACAACGATTATCTGAGCTCCTGAGGGCACTCTGGGCCAGGAGAATGAAGACTGACACTTCCGAATGGTTCCAAGACTCCCTTTACCTCTGGACTTCTATATAAAAATTTTCATTAATTTGAGAGGCGGGGGGGGGGGGTGGCGCGGGGAACGACTCTCATCTCCCAGTCCACACCCTGAACCACCAAATACCCAACAGCTGGGACCAAGGCCAAGGACCAGGAACTCAGTCCAGGTCTTCCACACGGGAGGCACCGTGGCTGCCTCCCAGGAGTCCACCCTCTGCCTGGCCCAGCCGTGGGCTGCAGGTGTTCGGGAAGGGACCCGGTGACGGCAGTACCTCTTTCTGCCTCTGAGATACACTTTAAAGGAAAAAAATTCTTCATAATTTTATCCTTTAAACACTTCTTCACATTAAAAACCATTACTCTGTGGGATAGTGGCTGCTTTTCCAATGTACCTTAAAAAAAAAGATTTTAGCTATTTATTTATTTGAAAGGCAGAGTGAGAGAGAGGGAGAAGTCTTTCATCCACTGGTTCACTCTCCAAATGGCCACAATGGCTGGAGCTGAACCAATTTTGAGCCAGGAGCCAAGACTTGGGTCATCTTCTACTGCTTTCCCAGGCATATTAACAGGGAGCTGGATCAGAAGTGGCACAGCCAGGATTGGAACCAGCAGCGCCCACACTGGATGCTGGCACTGCAGGTAGCGGCTTTACCTGCTACGCTGCAGCACTGGCCCCTGAGCCAACTCTTGGGGTCCACTTCACCCTTTGGGCTTTATGCCTACCCACCTGCGGAAGAGCTCTTAAAGGTACCCAATGCACTCCCCTGGAACCCGAAGTGATGGGAAGACCAGGACTGGATCACCAGGGAAGAGTTCAGGCCTTGAACCTTCCGTCCGATTCTCCCAGCCGTGCACTGAGTGCTCACCGAGAGTAGGCCTGCATCCAGTCTTCCCTGGAAGACGCCAAGGTCCTCCAGGGGGCCAGCCAGAGGGCTGGGCAGCAAACTCATAGGTGGTGTGATGGGGCCCAGGCTTGGTACCCGACTGGTCACTCTGGCCACGTCCCCGTCACCGTCACAAGGTTGCAGGACCCCTCCTGGGGACCTGTGAGCACCTGGCCGTCATCCCTGCACAGCCCCGCACACAAGGCAGAGGGAGAGGAACTGACCTGGATCGCCTGGCGGCCCTGCTGGGCGTCGGCCAGCAGCTGGATGGTGAGCGCTCTGGAGTCCTGCAGCGCCTCCTGGAGGTAGATGAAGCTGTGGCCCCCGTGCCGGCCCATGGTGCACTCGCGACAGATGGGCACGGAGCAAGTGTCACAGTAGAGATGCAGCACCTAGGGGCCAGAGAGAAGGGACAGGCACACGTGAGAGGTGGGGTGGCGGGGAGGAGGGGAAAGAGCACACAGCAGCCTGGTCCCCAGCCCTTCCTGGCAAGCAAGCGCCTCCTACAGGGAGAGACACAGACAACGTCCACTCGGCCTTCTTCCCTCCTCCGCAGCTAATCACGGCGGGGAAGGGCCGGCCCGCTGACCGCCACATCCTGCCCCGGTTTCCTTCAGCCACACTTCAGAGACAGCGAGGAGACGAACCCGCCCTCCTGACATGAGAGACCGGCCTGCGTCACACAGCAACGTCCTAAGCTTTTGATGCCTGGTCGGAGGCGGGGGCGTCCTGTGCCACTCCAGTGGGAAGCTCGGTGGACAGCCAATAACCACCCCCCCAATCCCCACGGAGGAGTTCAGCAAGGCTGCAAAACCCAGAATCCTCCTCCCAGGGAGGCAGGCGGCTTGCCTTTCTTCTTCCTGCCACGCGACTCCCACGGGGTGAAGCCGGGAGGCAGTCGATGCCATATGCCTCTGGGCGGCCGGGGAGCAGCCAGCCAAAAGCCACGGGGTTGGCCTGGCCATTCGGGGCTCTCTGCAGAGGGGCCCACCAGGACCACGAGTGACAGGCAAGCAGTGGGGTGCTCACAGGCTCGTGGGCAGCTAGAACACAGAGGGGAGACCACAGGCCTCCTGAGGAGCCCACACACACAAGGACCGACCACAAAGTGCCTTGCTAAGCACCGCAGTGGTCCACTGTATTACGGTGAAAGCCAGTTCCAGGTGGGACAGAATGGGAAATCCCGGCAGGGAGGCAGGGCAGTTAGAGAGAGAGGCAGGGCAGGGATGGGGCAGAGAGAGAAGTCTTCATTCTGCTGGTTCACTCCCCCAAATGGCTGCAACGGCTGGAGCTCAGCCAAGCCAAAGCCAGGAGCCAGGAACTCCATCCAGGCTGCCCAGGTGGGCCCAAGCACTGGGCCATCTTCCGCTGTTTTCCCAGGCGCATTAGCAGGGAGCTGGATTGGAAGTGGAACAGCCAGGACTCCCGTGGGATGCCGGGTTGCAGGCAGCTGCTTGACCCACTGTGCCACAATGCCGGCCCTCCCATTCTCTCCCCTCCCATTGGTATACAGACCAGGAAGTCTACCTTACAGATGAACTAATCCTTTCCAAACTCTACGGCAAAGTCTAAATGCTAACCAAACGGTGTTAGCCTGGATAAATTCGAGAAAAGACCCCGGCGTTTTTTTTTTGTTTGTTTGTTTGTTTTTTGACAGGCAGAGTGGACAGTGAGAGAGAGACAGAGAGAGAGAGGTCTTCCTTTGCCGTTGGTTCACCCTCCAGTGGCCGCCGCTGCAGCCGGCGCACCGCACTGATCCAATGGCAGGAGCCAGGATCCAGGTGCTTTTCCTGGTCTCCCATGGGGTGCAGGGCCCAAGCACCTGGGCCATCCTCCACTGCACTCCCTGGCCATAGCAGAGAGCTGGCCTGGAAGAAGGGCAACCGGGACAGAATCCGGCGCCCCAACCGGGACTAGAACCCGGTGTGCCGGCGCCGCAAGGTGGAGGATTAGCCTATTGAGCCGCGGCGCCGGCCTCCCGGCGTTATTTTTACAACGTGGTGCTAGAGCCACGCACTTTCCCACCGCTCTCTCCACTTGGGACGGAGCCTGAACCACCCACCAGAAGGTTCCTCTTCAACTGGCACAGGGGTCAAAGCGCAGGACGGGGCCAAGTGTCACCTCTGCTTCCAAGAACCCCCTCTCTGCAGACAACAGGACCCAAAGGGTTTCTAAGCCGGAATCTGGGCTCCCGGCTACAATAACTGTGCAAAACCTGCAAGGCATTTTCGGAACTGAGCTTTGCTGCGGCTAATAACACAGAGCCTGGCTGGCTCCGGAAATGACCTAAACTGTGCGGGGGCCACAATGGGTGGCGGCAGGGCAGGGCAGGGTGTCCAGAGCTCCGGACCCCAGCGTGCCCTCTTGCCCAGGCTTGAGAGCTCAGACCACACAGTGGCCTGGGATAAGCAGTGTTTATGCAGGTCCAGGCTGTGTTACGGATGATGGGGTTGGGGGACGCCCCGGCGAACAACAGTAGAACAGTCTCCGCGTGCCTGTAATTCATACACATAAAATGCGTTGTCCCAAAGCACACAGGAGATCCATTCTTATTAAATCTTCCAGCTCAAAGCTGGAGTAAAACTTGTAGAAGGGCAGAGCGGGTAAAGCCGCCACTGGCATCCCATATGGGCACCGGTTCAAATCCTAGCTGCTCCACTTGCAGTCCAGCTCTCTGCTGTGGCCTGGGAAAGCAGTGGAAGATGGCCCAAGTGCTTGGGCCCCTGCACCCACGTGGGAGACCCGGAAGAAGCTCCTGGCTTCAAATTGGTTCAGCTCTGGCCATTGCGCCCAATTGGGGAGTGAACCAGTGGATGGAGGACCTCTCTTTCTCTTTCTCTCCGCCTCTCCTTCTCTGTGTAACTCTGCCTTTCAAATAAATAAATAAATCTTTAAAAAAAGAACAACTGTGGAACATTTTGCACTCCATGCAGAAGCTGGACAGCCTATCATCCACCTAAGTGGGTAACACAGGAAACACGAGTGGCAGGCAGGGGTGTGCACCAGAGCCACTCTGAGGCAGTGGAAGTGCAGCTGTGCAGAGGCCCCTGTAGCAGCTCCAGGGAGAGGGGGAGGGGAAGGGGAAAGGGGGGAGGGGGAGGGGGGAGGGGAGGAGGTCCTTGGGCGGCAGGAATTCCAGGGCCCTCCAGGCCTGTTTGGGGCTTTCCCAGGCAGATGCACGGACACGCCCCCTCGGGCCTGGCGACAATCCGGCTGGCCCAGCTCAATGGAGGAGGCTTGACCTCTGACCCTGCAAGTGACCACCCTCCCTCCCTGCCCCCAGCTTCCAGAATGTCCCACCCACTGCCTTCCTCTCCCAAAATTTCTAAAATACCAGGCAGAGACAAAGACAGGAATGTGGGCTCAGCAGGAAAGGAATGGGGGGGGGGGGGGGCATAAAAAAGGAAAAATAAATAAAAATACAAAGTAGGCAGGTTTACCTAAGCACTGCGCTTGTGGGCCTGCAGAGGAATCTGGTTTTCTGACTGTCTGTGGTCTGGGACACACACATCAGGACTCTGGTCGGAGCCCAGGGCGATCAGGGCGGCCTTTAAGGTTTAAAGTACAACCATGGCTGTCTGCAAAGAATGCAGATGCAAGCCAGCCACTGAAACAGCCAAGGACGGGCTAGGGCAGGACACGAGGTGGACCCTGCCGCCGTGCAAAGAAGCGCCGGCTGCCAGAGAGACCCGTTGCATCAGCTACACGAGGCCGCGGGGCCCCGGCTGTGTGCCCACGGAGCAGTCCACTGTCAACTGGTAACCCACGGTCAGGGTGCATGGCGCAACCATGAAACACCAAAAACCAGACTCCTCCGTGGCTCAGCCCAGGTTCTAAAACGCGGAGTCCGAACCCACACCAGAAGCCGCCCCCGCAGCTGCGGCCATGAGCAGCTCACAGCCGTGGCCTGGCCGGCCTGGGAAGAGGGAAGTGGACGGGAAGAGGCCAGGTCGGCACAGCCTGAATTCACATCATCAAACACAGAAACCTTCTAACCACCTCCCCCCATGCCGCAGCCTCCACTGCAACTATCCGAAAACATGCTATTTCTATGTGCTTCGAATTTTTTTAAACAGACTCCCCATTTTTTTTTTTTTTTTTTGCATTTAACTTTATTAAGCTGCAAGCTGTCCTGGGTCCCTTCAGACAAAGCCCCCCCACTTCTCTGAATAGCAAAAATCAGCACTTTCAAAGCCACTTCTTGATTTGGGAATGTTGTGGACAAGCTCAACGCAGTGGAGCCTCCTCACCCTTCAGGCAAGCCCAAGTTCCCCACGTCATGTCACGTCACGTCACGTCACGTCAGTATGGGGACAGCCAAGGGCTCCCCAGTCTGGCCAGCCTCCACCACCCTAAAGAGCGCCTAGCAGCGCCCAGCTGGTTTCTGTCCTCAACAAGACCACACACAAGGGCCAGCAGGGTGGGGGTCCAAGCACTTGGGCCATCCTCTGCTGCTTTCCCAGGCCACTAGCAGAGAGCTGGATCAGAAGAGGAGCAGTCTTTGAACCGGAGACCATATGGGATGCTGGTGTCACAGGCAGAGACTGAACACAACTCCAGCTTCTCCTGGTACTGGGGTCTCTGCCAGCTGCATGGAGACCCATATGGAATTCCTGGC